GGGGGGGGGGGGGGGAGGGTGAAAAGTAATATCGAGAGTATTAATGGTCTCGTATATAGAGATTTTAATTGTATTGTGTGCAGCGTTAAAGTTATTTTCAAAATTTTAATTCACTTGTGTGTGTGTGTTTGTAGGGGAGGAGGCTTAAGAGAGAAGTGGGGGGGGTAATCAATTTCTTCCTCTAAAGAGCCTTATTAGAGAGAGAGAGGGGAGGGGCTTAATAGAGCTTAGCTGKCTGCTAATTGGTGGAGTTTAATTGCCAGAAATGAACCCGAAAAGCGTATAGTCTATCGCTTCCTCGATCAGGATATGAAGATTCCCCCCCCAGGTTTTGGGAGCAACTTGGTGCGCTTCGTAAGACATGATAGTAAACTAGAACATTATCTGTAATAGCTCAGTAAATCACTAATAAATGAGCTGTTTTTTTYCCTGAGAGTTCAACTGAGCACTGAAAAACAATTTTTATGACCTATCGACGGTCGACTATTGCTCATGGAATATATGAGTTAAATTGCTGACGTTGATCGAGACAAAGAAAATAGTTTTTATAGCTTCCCTGGGAATCGCTGACTAAGCCTGTAAAACAATTAAGCGCAAGACGACTATAGAACTTAAAGTATCATTTGGTTGATTGTATCCGGTGTCTTCGTGGGCATTGCTCGCCTATTCACATTTTATGAGTTCCTATTTATATGTTCTCTTCGTTTGCGTATTTTGCTTTTGCTTCTAATTAAAATTAAGGATAAAAAATATATTTGTTTGCAAAATATAATTAATTTTGAAGAAAAAAGCCATTGCAGATCGGATAACAGTGCCTAAGTCACACCCTGGATAAAGAAAGGTTTCATTTGAACAGCAACAACAAAAAACAAGTTAAAATAATTACAGCCACAACAAACCTGTTACCCTAAATAAAAATTTGTAATTATTACTCTTTGCGCTTTAGAAAGAGGTCGTTAGTACAATAAGATGAACAATATTCAAATTTCGTAAAATATGAATCAAAACTTAGAAGTTGGAATTTGTAAAAATTCAATTAATTCTGTTTCGAATAGTCTTCCTTTTGCAACATTAAGTGACAATTCCTACGTCATCGGCCCTTGAACGTGCACACTGGACCTTCAAGGACAAAGAATGATTGATTCTGGTGCCTCGTACACAAGTATGTTTTTGAAAAGAAAYTTTTTTACATTTTCGTTTTCGAAATGATTCTTGTTCGTTCGCAGCGGATCGAATCGTTTTTTTAAATCTTTTTATTTACCGTTTTCAAAATCACCCGGAAAACGCGTGGATGGGATCTGAATCTTCTAGAAGACGACTATTTTGTTCTTGATAAAAATAATATGTAGTTATTGCACAAGAAAAAATGGAAAAAAAGTRAAAAAGTCATGACACACTTTACGGCTTTAGAGGGGTTTTTGTTAAATTATTACGATAAAGAAGTCTAAACTTTAAGGTCAAATATAAATTCTTTTGTATTTATTGAGTGTGATACGGAAGCCACATGTTCAGTTGTGTCAGCGTTTTTTATGAGGAAGCTACGAAGAYATATGTGTCATATATATAAGTGTGTTAAATTTTATGGCAGGAAGCCAAAGGAGCGAAAAGAGCCAAGGAGATGTCTGCGAGGCTACTAGTACTCGTATATTGTGTTTATGATCCGGTGAAGKAAGTAGTTTTTGGCACTTTTATAAACGAAATCATTAAGCGCACGTACATTGAAATTCATTCCAGATGTTGTTTCGCAATTCAGGATTTAATAAATTTTGAATTGTTTTTGGTGGTTGTTTGGAAATGTTTTAATAAAGTAAGCGCAGTTCAACATTAAAATACGAAATCATTAACTAGTTTAAGATAAAGCTGACGGCACGCAAATTAATTATAGCTATAGATAAATTTATAAATGAAAAGTCTTTTTTTTAAGTTTCTTAA